CAAACAGGTCCGGGGGGCTGCATACCTCCTGGAGGCTCTGTGGGACAGTCTGTTTCTTTACCTTTTCCACCTTCTGGAGGCTGCTCAGTTTCCTTGGCCCACGGTTCCTTTGTCCATCTTCAAAAGCAACAGTGAAGCATCTTCTCTCCTCTCTGAACTCTGCTTCCATCCTTATATCTTTCTCTCTCCCTCTCCCCCACCCCACCTCCACCTCCACCTCCACCTCCACGGGCCTCTATGATCATATTGAGCCCGCTTGAATAATCCAGGATTGTCTCCCCATGTCAAGATCCTTAACTTCACATCTGCAAAGCCCCTTTTGCCATGTTAGGTAAGATAGTCAGAGGTTCAGGGCATTAGGGTGTGGACATCTTTGGGGTCATTATTCAGCCTATTACATGTGGTCTTTGTGTAAGAGCAGCTTGTTAAAATATAAGGTATATGAATATATTTATCAATTAAAGCCATATATATGTATTAAGATCCCATATATTTGATGCAAAAATATATATCTTCTTTAGCGCTTATTATAACTGGTTTAATGTCATTTGGGCTTTGGTTCTCCAACTGAAAGGCAAGTGAAATGTCGTCCAGATAACAGAGGTATTCTATATTATGTTTTCCTAGTTTCTTGACCTGCAATATATTAGCTAAGAAGTCCTCAGTCCACATGCCTGGATGGAAGAATGGTGGCAGGGTCCTCGGCTGTGGGTATTGACCTACAGATATCTAAGTATTGGCATACAGATTTTCAAATATCGACATACAGAGCTAGACTTGGTTCTGAATATTGATATGCATCTAGATATTGACATACAGAACTTTCAGTAACAGCAATACAAATGTAACATCTATCTGTAATTGATCCCCCATTCACTTGGAACTGGACTGGGTGTTTTCCACACATATCTCATTTATTACTTACCAGAACTTTCTGAAGCTGGTATAACTACATTGATTTTACATGTTAGTTGCAATCTTGAGGGGCCATCTGCTGTTCTTTCTGAGGAGTGTATGTGAGGAACGCCCCATTCCCAACACACAAACACAAATTCCTGTGTTCGTTCATTTGGCTGACATATTGTAGATGTTTGGGAAATTCGAGTTCCTTCATTTTAAAATTTGTTTTTTATGTTTCTTTTAATTTAAAAAATTTATTTTATTCAAGGATAGTTGATTTACAATGTTGTGTTAATTTCTGCTGTACAGAAATTACCATTATGGTTTATCCCAGGATATTGAATATAGTTTCCTGTGCTCTACAGTAGGACCTTGTTTATCCATTCTCTGTATGTACTAGTTTGCATCTGCTAATCCCAAACTCCCAATCTATCCCCCCCCACCTTTTTAGAGGCATGTGCAAGATCAGATCAGAATGAGAGTTAACCAGTCAAATTTTGAAGATACAAAACATCTGAACATGAGATACTTGAAGCGTAGTTCATCTTCATTACTTCCCTCTTTATTTTCATTTCATCTTGGCTCAGTTCTTGTAGCTGAAATGGCTTAATGGTCATTACTGTTGTATAAATTTGCTACTAAATTTATTTCCTCAGTTGTTCCTCACAGATGGTGGGAACCTCCCCTCATTGCCTTTCCTTTTTCCACCTACTACGAAAATCTCTCTCTGAACATCATGCCACTGGCCCATATTAAACATACTGATTTCAAAGAAATAGCTTGAAGGTCCCACCAGTTGGGTGACAGTAAACAGTGGGGAGTGGGGCTTTGCTGGTTCATGTCAGGGGCTGGGTTTGTGGTCTTAGATCTTATTCAGCTCACATCCCAGGGATCATCAATAACAATGATGAGGATAAAATAGCCTCAAGAAATACAGATGAAAAAGGAGTAGAGGCCTGTTTAGTGCGTTTCAGTCAAAGTTCCAGGAAAATTGATAATCCCTAGGGGAGTGCCTCCATGGAGAGCAATTCTGAAAGAAATGTCAGGCCTCTGTTTAGACTGGCTGCTTGGGAGGAGGAGAAGAGGCTCGAGATGGGGGGAGGGGAGGTGAAGTAGGGGCGCTCATTCAAAGGAAAATGCTCTTAGGTTCCCAGTCAGCATCCCAAGGTTGTAAACAGAGTCGTGTGTTTGTGCACCAGTGTCCTCCTGCCTGGCGAGTCCTTCAAGTGCACTTTTGTTTCATCTTCTGCATCTTTGCCAGTCATCTCTAATTTCATTTAAAATATAACCACAGGCGGGCTAAGAGAATCCACACGTCATCTCGTTTTCACTCCCAGAGACCAGTTTTTACTCCAAGTCATCATGAGAACCAAGGCCGTGTGATCTGAGTCCTACCTGCCTTTCTCTGGTGATCAGGCCAAAGTCTTGTCAGGGATATTCTAATTTATATTATTGTTCATCTTATACAAAATCACCCCAAAATGTCCTCCTAGGTCCTTTCCTGACATTGTAGTGAAAGGAACACCAAACTTGGAGTCAAAAGATTTGGGTCCAAGACTTGATATTCTACTTACTAGGCATGGGACCTCCCTGAACCTCAGTGTTCTCATCATTAAAATGGGGAAAATAATACCTACCGGGAAGCATTGTCATGAAAATTAAATGCAGTTGTTGTGAAAGCTCGAGATAAAGTATTTAGTGTAATACAGATATAAATATCTGTTACATCAGGAAGCAGCGGGCAGTTTGGAGGACCTATAACATTAAAAGTAATTACTGTGGAGAGAGTCCCTAGAATGACAAAGGGCCACAGTTTCACAGAGAACAATAAGAAACCAGAGAATTGTTTCAGAGCCATACAAATTCTCGGAGTATCCCACAAGTTACAGGTAACACTGCAGCACTGAATTTTACCTGCACTTCGTAGGTGACAGTGCTGGTCCTGGAAGCCAGGTCTTCTGATTCCCAGTTGAATTCTTGCTCTGTGATAAGACAGGGTTCCACAGGACTAACACAGAGTGCCTTAAACGATCCTCTTAGTATACCTACTAATGGTCGTATATGTGAACACCTAAATAAATAGTGATTCAGTGTAAGGTAAAGCTTTGGAAAAAGACAAGAGCTAAGGGTTTATACACTCAGAATACATTCCTAAGGAATGGGAATTAATATATTAGTTCATTAAGCAAATTTTATTTGAATTTTTGCGTTAATCGTGGAACCATGTTGAAGCTGTCTAAGATGTACGCCACATTACAGGAGACGTAGCTCTTGAAGAACTCACAATCTAAGGGGGTGGTGGGGTTGTGAGTGTTGAGGAGGGATGAGACACGCACCATATCGATTAGAAAAGCACCATGTTGGGGAAGGCATTTAATGAGGCCCCGGAGGATGGGCAGGGCTTTCTTGAATAGAATTAAGAGCTAAGAGTAGTCCATTGCATGCAGATGGAAGAGTTGCCTGGGTGGGGAGAGCAAGCAGAGAAGCTGGGGTTTTATTTTTCTGGGAGGTAAGGAAAAGAAATACAGTAGTTCAAAGCATCATGTGTTGTGGATGTGTGAACCACATCTAAAACACTCCCTCTTACCACTATTTCTATTTGTTATTATGAATTCAAAGTCTTGTAGAAAATGTATACTATAAATGGGATATTCTGTGGCAACCACACATTTTGAGGGCGTGGCATGTTTGTCCTTCTTCCTTTTTCTGGTTCCTGTGAGACTCTTCTCTCTTCTATGTGGTCTCAATGGGGCTCTCTGTCACTTACAGGAGAGGAAACATAAACCAGGCTTGACTCATCATGGTGCATTACAGTAGACGTGGTGATTGGTTAAAAGATGGGCACGGGGACCATACCAGACTAATCAGAATAATTTTTAAGCAGAGATCTTAGGAAAGATCAATGTTTGTTCTTCACTTTGCTAGAATAGAAGAATGTAAATCTTGACCGGCACGTAGAGCGTGACAAAGATTCTCTCCTTGAGCAAACTTTAGTTAGGCCCCTCTGAGCCCTCTTCTCAACTGGGCCTCAACCTTGGCCTTCTGTGTCCATCCTTTCCTTGCTGGCCTGCATAGCCCAGTCTTAGCAAAAATCCTGCTAAGTCTGTTTATTGAGAATCTCACCCCCACCCCCCACTTGATTTCTGATCACCTTTGATATATGATCAAGTTTCTCATCCTCCACTTTTGATGTCTAAGCCTTTGGCCTGCCTTTAGCAAGAATCCCTCTACCCTGTGTGTCTCTAATGAGTAAGTTTCCACCCACTGACTCCCTCACCCTGCTTTCTAGCTATAAATCCTCACTCGTCCTTGTTGTATTAGGAGTTCAGCCCAATCTCTCTCCTCTACTGCAGTAGTGTTGAATAAAGTCTTCCTTATAATGTTAACAAGTGTCAGAATAATTTTTTCCTTTAAAAGGGACTAACAGAACTCATTGGAGCTGAGAGATGGGGAAGCAAAGAACTGACCACATTTGAGACCCTGTGCCTGAAGCCACATGCACGCATGGGCTTGCCAGTTATATGAGCCAGTTATCACTCTTTGACTTAACCTAGATGGCACTGGGTTTCTCTCACTTGCCATGGAAAATGCCCTAATAAATACAACTTCTTATTCCTCTTAGGAAGATAGACATAGACTAACTGAGTAAAATAGTATTAAAGATAGAAATCCAAGAATGTCCAGGTTTTCCCCAGGCCCTCCTTCTCATGGCAATGGGAATAGCAGTTGGTATTTCTCATGGGTATTTTGTCCTTTCAAAAAAATTAACATTTTAAAAACTTCTGTTGTAAGGCAGACACTATGCTAGACATTTTCATATAGGCAATTTTATTTAATCCTGCCTCTCAAAGAAGTCCTTATTATACCTAATACACAGATAAGGCAACTGAGGTCCAAAGTTTTAATGAATCTTGGACAGACTCTCCTTCAAATCACAGTCTTTCTTCCACAGCTCTCTAAATATCCTTTGACAAGGAATTCTTTACATAGCTTTTTCCCTCTGCTTTAAGAAAATTGTGGTGAAAATTTACCAAGCATTTTACGTTGTTCCTTGATTAGTTTCTTCACACTCAAGCAAATATGCTGGAAAAGAATGAAACAATCTTAAATCTATCATACTTAGTTTCTGTCCTTTCTTTAAAAACAATATAATATTTACCTAATAGCAGGAAGGGAAGCCTCAATGGATCAAGATATGAAACACTCCCTGGAAAAACTCTGGGATGCCTCTAGGCTTTTACTGCGTGATTGCCTTGATGTGAAAGCAGCCCAAAATGTAGACGTTTCCACAACACAGGAACAGTGTTTCACAGCTGTCTCATGAAAGCACTCTTACTGACTCTCAAACCAGACAAAGTTTCTGTTTCATGAGTTTTTTTTAAAGCAAAAAACCTTTTGACTTCTCTGGAGACAACCATTTTGAGACTCTCACGAAATCCCTTAAATCCTCAAGGCACGATAAATTTCACAATTGGATACCAAATGATGTTCCCAATCTTAAATCAGAAAGAAGTTACTTATTTTTAATCTAGCTGGGTTTCTAAAAAGATGCGTATCTAATTCATTCTCTTTTGAGCCAAGATGTTTTTTAAAGGTCTTTTCATAGTTTTCCTCTAGAAGAAAACTATTCATATTTGTTACTTTACAAGAAATATTCTTTTTGTTTTCGTAAGTGACATCTATACAGAGAACAGAATCTGGCATTGTTGTCAGCATTGCCAGATAGTTTCTTTGGCTTGAGACTGTGAGTAAAATGTTGTTCAAATGGCAGTGCAGGTTGTTAAACTTCTGAGGAGGTCTTCTAGTTCATTCTTGAAGGGCTGAACACAGCATTTAGCGTGGTGCCTTACGTGTATTACGCACTCAATAAATGAACAACCAGAATCCAGTAAGTTGTGGGTTGGGATATCTCACTTTCACTAAGAGCAAGAAGCAGGATAGAGAAAAAGTGAGTAAACAAAGAGATCATCAGAAAGGCTTACTTTATTTGCGGCACATGGACTCTTAGTTGTGGCATGCCTGCGGGATCTAGTTCCCTGACCAGGGATCGAACCTGGGCCCCCTACATTGGGAACAAGGAGTCTTACCCACTGGACTGCGTGCCGCAACTAAGACCTGGCACAGCCAAAAATTACATAAATAAAAAAAAATTTTAAATACATATATATTAAAAAAATACCTACTACTTAAAAAAAAGACTTTGATTGTAATCTCAAGAAATAATTTCAGGGACACAGTATCACAAGATCTGGCAACATTAGCCCATCTGTGGCATTGAGTGGGTTGTTTTCAGCTGGTTTTGTTTTCTTGAAAAAACAAAGCAGTACAAATTTAAGCCGAACAAGGCTTTTGCAAACATGAATATTTTCCAGTAATAATGTAGTATGAAAGTTTCAAACCATGGAAATGTAATATTCAAAACTGTTTACATCCCTCTTTCCCTCCCCTTCCCCTCTACCCCTTCCATCCTTTGCAAAGTAAAAAAAAAAAGTGTAAAAGCATGTTTTAAGCATGTTTCAGTATTTGTCAATTCTAAAGATAAACCCAGGGCCCATGAATCACTCCAATATGCAGTTCCAACGTGAAACAACCGAACCCAGCCCTCCCTTTAAAACACACACACACAACTATTTTTAATAGCAGTTTTAGGTTCACAGAAAAACTGATTGGAAATTATAGAAAGTTCGCACATACCCCCTGCTTCCATACGTGGACAGCCTCCTTGACATTCCCACCAGAGTGGTATATTTGTTACAACTGATGAACCTATATCGACACATCATCGTCACCCAAACTCCATAGTTTACGTTAGGGTCCACTCTCGGTGTGGTATAGTCTATGGTTTTGACAAATATATAATGACACATATCTACCTTTATAATATCATACAGACTGTTTTCCCTGCCCTAAAAGTCCTCTGTGTCCTGCCTGTTCATCGCTCCCTTCCCTACTAGGCCCTGGAAACCACTGATCTTTTTACTGTCTTCATAGTTTTGCCTTCTCCAGAATGCCTTATAGCTAATTCCCTTTTCAAGTATTGCTCAGGATCACAATAATGAATACAGTTGTTTGACAGGTATATGTAAACCCCCAAGTCAGTTATATTTCTCTGCTTGCTGAAGGTTACAATCATATTGGATAGGTTAACCACTTTGGGCGGGGGGGGGGGTTTAAGTCTTTTTAAAAATTTATTTGATTAAAATATAGTTGATTTACAATGTTGTGTTCATGTCTGCTGTACAGCAAAGTGATTCAGTTATACATATATATACATTCTTTTTCATATTCTTTTCCGTTATGGTTTATCACAGGATATTGAATGTAGTTCCCTACACAGTAGGACCTTGTTGTTTATTCTATACGTAAATAGTCTGCATCTGTTAACCCCAAACTCCCAATCCATCCCTCCCGGGTCAGGGTGGAGTGGTGAGTGGTGGTTAAGTCTTAAACACTCATTTCTGCTTCCAAAAGTAAGACACAGTTGGTTTAGAAATTAATGTGTAGTTCAGGAATGTAAGATTTTTTTAATAAGAGAAAAAATTAACTAATGTTATTAATTAAGGAGATGGAGAAATATATAATCACATCAATAGATGTATGTAAGGCTTTTAATAAAATGCAAGATTCATGATAAAAATCTTGGTAAACAAGGATTAGAACAAAACTTCCTTTACATTTTGTAAAGAATAATTACAAAGAGATTATAGCAAATTTCACACATAATGATGACTTGTTAAATGTATTCCTTTTAAAATCATGTGTAAGAAAATTTCTTGCTGTCAATAGTTCTATTCATCATTGTATTAGAGATACTGGCCAGGAAAATTACTATAGGAATTGAAAAAAGAACACTCATTATTCACAGATAATATGATTATCTACATAGAAAACTCCAGGTCATTTGCAGACAAGTGTTTGGAAACGCTGAATACGAGATAAACACACAAAATTAATGCTATTTCATTTCACCAGTAACAAACGGAAAAGGAAAAAAATTACATCAAAAATTTTAAGTATTTAGGGATAATTTTCACAGAGCTTTATGGAAATAATAAAGAGTTGTTGAATGTCATTAAAGAGGATTAAAAAATGGAGAGTCATATTCATAGAAATGAACACGTGTATCAGTTATCTCTTGGCGCATAACAAATTATCCCACACTTATACTAAGTGGTATAAAAATAAGAGGTATAAAAACAAACATTTATTATCTCACAGTTCCTGTAGTTCAGGTACTCAGGAGCAGATTAGCTGTGTGGTTCTGGCTGGGGTCTTTTGTGAGGTTGCAATCAAGGTGTCAATTGGGGGAATGTGGTGTGATCTGGGAGCTTGACTGGGGTAGAGGATCCACTTCTAAGTTCACTTACATGGCTGTTTGCAGGAGGCATCAGTCCCTAACTGGCTGTTGGCTGGAGGCATCAGTTGCTCACCACACGGGTCTTTCCAAGTGGCACCCTGACAGCTGGCTTCCCCGGGAGAGAGAGATCCAAAAAAGAAAGAGTCTCTGAAGTCACTTCTGCTTTTTTCTATTTATTTGAAACAAGTCACTAAGTCAAGCCCGTACTCAAGGGAGGGAGAAATAGTTTATCTTTTGAAGGGAATGTCAAAGAGTTTTTGGACATATTTTGAACTGCCAGAAACCTCAATACTATAAAGGTACCAGTTGTCTACCAGTTCATCAGTAGATTCAATGCATCCTTTTTCCTTAATTGTAAGTTTTGGATATATTTTCCTAAACACTTAGATTTATAAGACTTGAAAAAAATGCAAACCTAAGTAACATTTATACAAATATAAGTGATAAAAACTATCAGCAACAAACAATAAACCCAAAATTCAGGATGAGCTTTACCTCTAGAGCAGTGGTTCTCAAACAGGGGTGATTCTAAGATTGGATAGCATTTCAGTTGGCTTCCAGGGGACATGCGGCAATATCTGGCAACATTTTTGCTTTTCTTGTCTGGGGAGATGCTATTGGCATTCTAATGGGTAGAAGCCAGGGATGCTGATGAACATTCTGCAATGCACAGGACAGCCTTCGGCAGCAAGTGCTGAGGTTGAGATACCTTGGAAAAGGGAGTGGGTTTGAGGTGGGGCACGTAGGGGAAAAAATAATAGTAACGTTCATTTTTCTTGAATTAATGCAGCGATGCAAACACCGGGATATATTTTATAATGATTTAAAAAACACGTAGCATAAATATTGTCTCGTGTTCACTCAGTAATAAGCACAATAAAAAAGAAAAATTGTTGAAACAACAGGACTTTGGACTCATTGGGCTTGGAAGGCTCGGGAGCTTCCTGTTTTGAACACTTAGATAAATGGTGGTACCATTTAATGCTACATTTTTTTCCCCTAAGATAAAAGCCTGCCCAGAACATCGCTCTAGACACTTAGCATTTTACTGAGATGGAAAACAGCTCTTCAACATCAATATTTTGAAGATGACCTTAGACGCAGAGTGCATAGGTGAACTCTGATAAAACTCTCAACTTGGCCATTTGTTAGTCACGGTTTACCTTTTCAAATCCTGCCGGCCTTAAGTCATTGTTCCACCTCCTCTGAGGGAGGGTCAAAAGAATAAATTCAGCAGTGAAGCAGAGACCTTGTAGCACTGGAAGCATCAGGTAAGCAGAGGCCTCCGAGATCTCACAGCTCAGACGCTGGGTTAGCTGGCTTCGGCGCCCTGGCAGAACTTGCTGGCAGCCTGAGTCAGCGTCAACCAGCGGACACTGGGCAGGTGAAAGCAATTCACCCTGAGCCCAAAGCCCAGACCAACCACATTCTCTTGGGGGCGGGTCTAGGGCATCTCTAGCCTCGCTCTGAACTCGCACATAAGTTCGTGGTTAGCCTCGGCTTTAAATGGATGAAAATCAAGTCTTCCGTGATTAAAAACAAATGCTATGTTTGGTGCAACAGTTGCAGAGAGCTGCAGGCCTGCTATGTGTATCTTATACCGGAATGAACTGGAGGAGACAGAGTAAGAGATGGAGTTTGAGGTAACATGTGATCTTTTTTAGTTTTAGATTATTCTCTGATTTCCCCCTTACCATGTAGTTGAATTTTCACACATGATAACAATATTTTTCCTTGCAGCAGATGGGGCCTGTTATGAAAGGGGTTTTGCACCTTATTTTGTCTTTCATATGTCTAAAAATTATACATAAAAACCCCAAATGGGAGCAATTCGCCTAAACTCTGCCAACCCTTTGTTTTTAAACAGCCAACCAGGAGGCAGTGGGGCTGTTTGAGTCTTAAAAGTGTGTAATGACCCCCATTACGGAAATTTGAAATGCTATCCAATCTTAGAGAACCCCCATTTCGTGGGGAAAAAAACTGCCCAGTGACAGCTTTGGACAAAGAAGGATGACATGTTGTGAGTCCAAAGGTCAAGGCAAAACCAGCCCCACAAAAGATGGAGCTTACCCAGCATTAAGCCTGTTTTTAACTTCTGCTACTTTAAGCATATTTTAAAGTGGGACCCTGACCTGAGTAAATTTTCCTGGTAAGGGCAGAGCCATAGCCATCTCATGTGATTCTTCTCCAGGATTTCAGCAGAGTTTTGGACTGCTAAATGTTGAAGAGATTATAAAGAGAGGGAAGGATTCCTTTTGTTATCGAACCAGGTTCATTTTGCATAACTTACAGCAAGCCAAAATGGTGAGATGCTGAGGGTTGCAACAAAGAGAGGGTTTATTCGCAAGGCGGACAAGAGAGGAGACGAGAAAACAAGTCTCGTATCCACCTTTCCGAAGGGGAGGGGCTCGGAGTATTTATGGGATAATGAATAAAAAAGCAGGGCGGTCTGAGGTATGGGAAGCGCCGGGAAAGGTGATTGGAGAAAGGTACAGTGATTGTTTTTGTGCTCAGGCGTAACTAAAGTACAGACTTCTGCACTTTCAAAAATGGAGGTGCTTAGCACGATCTGAGGGTGGAGTTTTTGACCCTCTGATGTCAAAACATCACTGAGCAGACACTCGCGCATGCCCAGTTGGAGGGTCAGTGGTCCTATCCAGTCTTAACCAGCTCAGCTCAAACTAGACACAGCTGACTCCAAGTTCCCGGAAAACAATTTGGGCAAACATTGTTTAGGGCTACCTGCTGCTTGGAGGACATGCAAGTCTTTCGTAGCAACAATTAAAACAACCTTGATTACTTAAGGCAGGTGAAATGTGATTACACATGGTTTCACTTTCAGATTTGGCATAATACTTGGGAAAATTCTTAGGTCATAAAATGACAGGGATTGAAGAGGCCTCTACCCTGAATTTTGAAGGACAGGAATGTGATGGAATGACAGACTGGTGGAGTGAAAAACTGGTGTCCTACCAGGTAGCTACCTGTGTGATCCTGAATCTTTCTCCTCTCTTGATCTAGTTTTCTATTTTGTGAGGTGAGAGTTTTAGACCCATAATCTCTGGACTCCAATTCATTTCTGGCACTCTGTGATTCTTACAGCTAATGAAGTTTCATCTGCCAGAATATTCTTTCTCCCACTTCTTTTATATTTTAAAGTACATATGAAATTGTAAAACTTGCATCTGTAAATCTTACCCCCTATAAATTGGGCTGAGTTAGCCCAGTCTGGGTGAAATGGCTGAAATGAGTTCTGGCACGTTTTGGCGTGGTCATTGGCCCAAAGATGAGAAGCAGTGATGAAGACGGAAGAAACAAGGGGAGAGTTCGTCCCTCTTTCGTATTTGAGGACCAGTCAGTGTACATGGAAAATGGTGGATGAATAAGACGATCTTTCCCATTTTCTGCTTCTCCGGGAAAGACAAGACTGAGCATGTACTTTGTGCTCAGGACGGCACAACCCCTCCGTGGGTGTTTATGGTTCATGTCAAGCAGGCACAGCTGAACTTATCGTTGCTCAATTATGTTAGCTATCTATTGCCATGCAACAGTATTACCACAAACTTATCAACCTAAAACCATGCACATTGTTCATCTCCTGGCGCGGCTTAGTTGGGTCCTCTGCAAGGCTGAGATCAGGGTGTTGGACAGGGTGGCAGTCTTATCTGAGGTTCAGGGTTCCCTTCCCAGCTCACTCAAATTGTTGACAGCAGTCAGTTCCTGGCTGGGTGTCAGACCGAGGCCCCAGTTTCTCCCTGGGTTGGACACCCAGCCAATCAACCCTTTCCACCAGCAGCTCTCAATGTGGCAGTTTGCCTCTTCCAAGCCAGAAAGAAGAGAGAGGGAGACTCCAGTAAGATGGGGCTCCGATTATGTAATCATGTACACGTAAGCACGTACCTCCTGTCACCTTTACCCCATTGAATCTCACCTTTCTATTAGTTAGCTGCAAGTCACAGGTCGTGCCCACACTCAACCGGAAGGGATTACACAAAGCGTGGACAGCAGGAGGTGGGGATCACGGGGGGCCGCCACCTCAGCTGCTCCCAGCTTGCCCCCTGATAGTTAATTAATGAGTTCACCCGACACACATCCACTGGGCGTTTAGCATAGCTTGACCCTGTGCTGCGCGCTAGAGCATACAAAGAAAAGAGGCTATGGTCTCTGCCCTGCGAGCAACCGATGAGTCGGTGGGGGGTGGTGATGGTGCCACCGGCTTCTTCCCACAGTTCAGTTCTGCTGTCCTGGGCGTGGCTATTCTCCCCAGCACATGGCACATGGGGCTGAGCCAGTGTTCCGCACTCCCCTGCACTCAAGGCCACCGGTCTGGCTGGGAGGCCGTTGGCCTTTAGAGTGCAATCTCCTGATGACCTCCAAAACTTGCAGCGCCCCCTGTTGGCCACCTGTGGCGGAACTGCTCCTGTTCATCACTGACTCACTTCCCCCAACCAGAGAGCCCTCCCCAGAGTCCATCCAGCTGCTTTCTTTTTCTTTTCTTTTTTTTTTTTTTTTGCGTTACGCGGGCCTCTCACTGTTGTGGCCTCTCCTGTTGCGGAGCACAGGCTCCGGACGCGCAGGCTCAGCGGCCATGGCTCACGGGCCCAGCCTCTCTGCGGCATGTGGGATCTTCCTGGACCAGGGCACGAACCTGTGTCCCCTGCATCGGCAGGCGGACTCTCAACCACTGCGCCACCAGGGAAGCCCTCTTTTTCTTTTTTTAATATATATTTTGTTGGAGTATAGTTGATTTACAATGTTGTGTTAGTCTCAGGTATAGCAAAGTGATTCAGTTATACATATACATATGTTCATTCTTTTTCAGATTCGTTACCCATATAGGTTATTACAGAATATTGAGTAGAGTTCCCTGTGCTATACAGTAGGTCCTCGTTGATTATTTATTTTATATATAGTAGTGTGTATACGTTAATCCCAAGCTCCTAATTTATCCCTCTCCCCATGTTTCCTCTTTGGTAGCTGTAGTTTGTTTTCAAAATCTGTTAAGTCTGGGGCTTCCCTGGTGGCGCAGTGTAGGGCGCGGTCAGCTAACTGCCACGCAGCAGGAAGCTGAAGTAAGCTGAATCATCCTTCCTGTGGCCACTGCGCTTGCGCTAAGTATACTAATGAGGTTTTAAAGTAGCGACCTATCCGATGCTGGCTCACAAGTCGCACCATCGGCGAAAGCCAATCACAGAGCGACACATGTTCTTAATCCCTATATAAGCAGACTGCTATAGGATTGCGGGGTCTTCCTTCCATCTTTTCTTTAACCAAGCTGTGCTCCAATAAAGTGTGATACGAGAAGAATCTTGCGTGTGGCGACTCGTCATTCTGCTGGTCGGAGGCGGCTCGCCGCATTTGGTGCCGAAACCCGGGAACTTCGCGCCCTGCATGGAGGACCGATTCAGAACTCGACACACGGAGTGAACCGTCGGATCAAGATCCGATCTGGGTGCCATCAAGACTGACGAGAATTGTTGAAGAAAACTTCAGAGAAGATGCTGAGCTGGATGTTCCTGATGATTCTTCCCTTGCTTAGGGCAGAGAATATGACGTTCTGGGGAATTAGCCGGACCTGGCCAGTTCCCATGCCGGTTCACTCTCAGAGCAGAGTTCTTCCAATATTTTATTCCACTAGTTGTGAAATGAATACGGCCTGTACCCAGCCATTGAATTATGACTGGGCACCGTATAATGCCAGTGATTTTATTTTGAATCGAAGTCTTTGTATTAGTTGGAATTCCACAAAGGATTAGATTGGAGAATTCCTAAAGGGAAACTGGTCTCAAGAAGCTGAACGGATGATATTTAAGCAAAAGATTCAGATTATGCAACTGAATGCTACCAAGCTGGAACCCGTTACCTTTGGAGATTTTACCTCTTGGCTCTCTTCTGCCTTTTCCTTCTTTAAAGAGTGGGTAGGGGTGGGGATCTTTGGGCTCTGCTGTATATTTGGGATTATAATATGTCTCTGGTTGGTCTGTCGCATGCGCGTCAGGGCACATCGAGATAAGGTCCTACTCACTCAAGCACTTTTGGCTGTTAGTGAAGGTGATTCTCCCGCAGCCTGGATCTCCGTCCTAAACAATTCGAATGGATTGCCCTTGCACGGAGAGGCCCTGTTGCCATTGCACCTCTATAGGGAATCAAAACTTATTCTGAGTCAGCCTTTGCACCCTGCAGCCCTTGTTGGCATTGCACGCAGGAAGGTGTCTCAGACATGCCAACGGAAGGCTGCCCTCGAACAGTGAGCACATCATGAGGTGAACACTTGTACGGGCTACATTCTGCTTGGTGATTCTAGTAAATAAAAAAGGGGGAGATGTAGGGCGCGGTCAGCTAACTGCCACGCAGCAGGAAGCTGAAGTAAGCTGAATCATCCTTCCTGTGGCCACTGCGCTTGCGCTAAGTATACTAATGAGGTTTTAAAGTAGCGACCTATCCGATGCTGGCTCACAAGTCGCACCATCGGCGAAAGCCAATCACAGAGCGACACATGTTCTTAATCCCTATATAAGCAGACTGCTATAGGATTGCGGGGTCTTCCTTCCATCTTTTCTTTAACCAAGCTGTGCTCCAATAAAGTGTGATACGAGAAGAATCTTGCGTGTGGCGACTCGTCATTCTGCTGGTCGGAGGCGGCTCGCCGCAGCGCAGTAGTTAAGAATCCTCCTGCCAGTGCAGGGGACACGGGTTCGAGCCCTGGTCCGGGAAGATCCCATGTGTCACGGAGCAACTAAGCCCGTGAGCCACAACTACTGAGCCCGTGTGCCACAACTACTGAAGCCCACACGCCTAGAGCCTGTGGTCCGCAACAAGAGAAGCCACCACAATGAGAAGCCCGCGCACCACAACGAAGAGTAGCCCCCGCTCCCTGCAAGTAGAGAAAGCCTGCACGCAGCAACAAAGACCCAATGCAGCCAAAAATAAATACAATAAATAAATTTATTAAAAATAAAGTATTAAAAAATCGGTGAATCTGTTGCTGTTTTATAAATAAGTTCATTTGTATAATTTTTAAAAATTAGATTCCACACGAGTGATATCATAGGATATTTGTGTCTGGCTTGCTTCACTTAGCATGATCAACTCTAGGTCCATCCATGTTGCTGCAGATGGCATTATTTCCTTCTTTTTCATGGCTGAGTAATATTCCATTGTATATATGTACCACATCTTCTTTGTCCTTTCCTCTGTCCTGGATAGATTGCTTCCGTGTCTTGGCTGTTGTAAATAGTGATGCAATGAATATTGGGGTGCACGTATCTTTTCAAAGTATGCTTTTCTCTGGATATATGCCCAGGAGTGGGATTGCTGGATCATATGGTAGCTCTATTTTCAGTTTTTGAAAGAACCGCCATACTCTTCCCCTTAGTGGTTGTACCCATGCATCCAGCTGCTTTCTCATCATCTTTTCCAGAACCTCTGCTGGGGTGGTGATCAGGGTGGGGAGTTGGGGACATGGCACTGGCCTTTGAGACTTCACAAGACCCAGTCCATCCTTATAAGTCATCTCTGTCTTGGGTTAGGTTTCCAAGGGGTGGAGCCAGTGATAAGGATTCATGTAAAGGTGGTTTTGAGGAAAAACCCATCAAAGGGCAGAGGGGAATGTGGGCCCGGGCTGAGGGGGGCCCGTGAGCGTGTGGTATCCAGCCAAGCCCCATGGAAGGGAATTGTGGAGCCAGCTCTGGAGCCTCTACACCTCAGAGGAGTCAGATACCAGGAA